TATCAGCCAGTTCTTGAATTTCTTTTTTATTAATTCTCATTCTTCGGTTTCTCTCTTCTTCCTTCCAATTTATTTCTACATTTTTGTCTTTGATATTACTGATTCTTTCCTTCATTTGGTCTACTCTATTTCCCAAGCTTGCTGTTTCATTTTTCAACTCTTGCAGTGTTGTTTTTTTTTTTTTTTTTAAATCTCCAGAAGATCTATTCTGTTCTTTTTGAGGGTTCCAATCTCCTCATTCTGCTCATCTAGTTATTTTTTCAATTCCTGAAATCGTTGATATGACTCGTTTCAGATCTCATTGAGTTTTTTCAGAATTACCATCCTGAATTCTGTCATTTAAGTTGCGTATTTCTATGTAAGCTTATTTTCTGGAGATTTTTCTCTTTCTTTCAGAGATGTCTTGTCACCAAGGTAGTTCATGTAGTGTTTAGTGGACTATTTCTCTGCCTGGGCATTAATGGAAGCATATTCCACTGTTTTGTTTTTTGGTGGTTTTGTTTGTTTGTTTGTTTTTCCAGAAAGAAGATTTAATATATAAAGGTCTCTCTTTAGCCTGTTGCAAATATGACACTTTTCCTTTGGTTTCCTGTAGCGTCTAAGCCTCTTGGATCCCTGATTTATATAAAGCCTTAATAATGCCTTTTTTTCTTATAGATGTTTAATCACGCTCACTAATCTCAGTTTTAGTTTCTGTTGGTGTCAGCAACAGTTTCAGTAGCATTTGCTCAGATTCCTCTGGGCTCCGCAGTTTTCGGTCTTGGAGGATATGGGGGAAGGGGCCCTCTGGGGCTGCGGCTCAGCCTTGATTTTGCAACCACAGTGGTTAAAACTCAACTGTCATCCTGCTTCTCTGCTTTCTGCCCTGATGACTGGGCACTGCTGCTGGCCGAGGCCACAGGGAACTCACAGCTCTCCCAGGCTATTCAGAGATGTTGCTGCACCTTCTCTCCTCCCCCTCCTCCTGCAGGGAGCTCCAGCTTCGATAGGCAGCTTCTTTGTTTCTCCCAGTCCACGATCCTACACCCAGGGTTCTGATCTGTGTTAGCTCTTATGCGCAGATCCCATGCTCAGATGTTCTGGTGTGTAGTTTAAGTGTTTTCCGTTTAGTTTTAGATGCTCAGGTTATTGTTGTTTCAAGGGGAGTGATCTGGGGACGTCTCTCACTCCACTATGTTTCTCCAAACTCAACAATGCCATTTTTAAAGTCAGTAGTTGAACGGTTATATTTAAATGTTCATCTCTTTATAGCTTATTCTAGTCTTTTATTAACTAGTATTTATTGAGCACCTATTAGGAGACAAAACTGAATATAATATGGTCCTTGCTTTCAAATCAGTGTGGGAAATAAATATAACTATTATGGAATGTGTAAGTGCTATATTAGAGGGACAAGCAAATGGGATGATGGTATTGGCTCTGCTTGGTTTTGGATGAAGCTTCAGAGAAGAGGTGATATTTGAGCTGAGTCTCAGGAATAAGTGTTCCTGGCAAAAAGAACCACCTGAAGAGTGCTTGATTTGGGGAAAGTGGGGAGGTGTTCAGAATGGCTGTTTACTAGTAGGTTATACCTTGATTCTGGGGCCACTAAGGATAGTAGTAAATGAAAATTAGTATTTCAGAAGTACATAGGAATTTAGAAATCTTGCATTTCATAATGGCAGCCAATTTTTTCAGTCATATTTACCTAGAGCTACCAGCATGAAGTTGGAAACCAGAGTAAAATCACAGGGATGTAAAGGCAATCTGGTTATAATATCTGCTACCTTGTTGGCCACTGGGGTTATTTTGACCTATCCAGGAAACTGGGTACCTCTTCTTACTCCTCCATGAACCTGTATACCTGTTTGAAGAGAGAGAACCATTCTTTGGTAAAAGCTATGCATATATAATCAGAAAGCTAATTTATGAAATTCCTAATTCATTCATTCTATGAACTTGAACTACAGTTATGTGCTAGCGACTATGCTAGGTGCTAGAAATACTATGGTGAAAAAACATCCATAGTCCCTGCCCTCACGGAGTTCACACCTAGCTATTCACTCTGATGTACATACTCTGAAGATATATGTGCTGTAATTCATGCTCTTAAGATTGTAAAATTTTCTTAGGATATAGACTATTCTGTGTTCTTTATAGCAAAGAACAGTGTGAGTATTCAGATATTGATCACCACTAATATCCTTTTAGACCTAGAGCAATATCTAGCTGTCATGATGCTTAGAGCCAGGGAACAAGATACAGCAAGCCTAATCAATACAGGCTAGATTTGCATATCAACACAACAATGTATTTTATTAAATGTTTGGGTTCTTCAGTAGCTATTCATTGATGCATTCTTTTGTTTTCTAGGTTAATAATCCGGTTGCATGCGAAAGAACAACATGTTCAAGATATCATTCCTATAAATAGCCACTTTAGATGTGTTCAAGGTACTAGCTTTAATCGCTTAGCTAGTTTTATAACATTTTTCTTTGGTCATTATTGCCTGTGTCATACCATACATATTTAAATTTGTCACTACATGTGAAATGAAATGTATTACTCTTTGCATAAAAAGATAACGTTACTATTTTACCACTGAGAAGATGATCAGTGCTTTGTCTAAGAGGGCTGAAGGGTTATATTGAATAAGTGTATTCTCACTTGCTTCCCTGGCTGGGGGTTAGAGACATATGTAGTCTGTTGCCTGCATAGGTAGTCTATGCTGTCCGACCTATATGTGGATTTAAGTAACATTCTTGGGTTTAACTGACACACTGCTCGTTGTAAAATAGCAAGGTTGCTAGGATTCATACACATTCAGCTCTTTCTCCCCTCACTATCTGAAATTAAAACACTTGGCAAAATGCCTTAACAGTTTTTAATACCTTATATTTAATTGTGCTAATTCTCAAACCTTGCCATTGGTGAATTATAAGTGACTCCAGGGAGGAAATATTTGGCTTCCTGCCCTCAAATTTAGGGACCAAGAAAAGAAAATCTGTTGTTTCACCTGCTACACTGAGACTCAAAAATGAGGGGGCAGGGGAGTTGTGTAGGAGCTGTTGCTTCTGTCATGTCACATTGCTCTCGAAAGGAAATTGTTTACTAGAGAACAAATGCATTATGTTTCCAATGAGTCCATTGGCTTCATCAGACAGAAGCATTCTGTTTCAGCTATAGCTTCTTGGAAAATTTGAATCCTACCTTACATGGATTCTTTCTTAAACTACATTGAACTTTTTTAATCACAAAACTAATATATATACTGTAAAAATGATGGAAAGAACAGAAAAATATAAAGAGAAGCAAATTCCCATCCTTCAGAGATAAACACCTAAGATTTACCTTTTTTCTACACTTGGAACTTTTAGAGTGGATAGGACTCATACTATATATAGTTTTTTTGTCTGTTCCATAATATGAGTGCTTTTCCATGCTATTAATAGCTAGCTATACACTATTTTATGAATGGCTATTTTATAAATGGGTTATTTGCTAGTATAAATAGTAATTCGATGAACATCTATGTGCATAAATCTTCCTGCACATCTCTTATTTCCTTAGGATTTATTCCTATAAGTAGAAATACTAAGTGAGTGTGGCTTTTTAAGACAGTATGTGTTAAGAATTAAAATACCTGTAGTGAATAGTACCCACATTGTATAGAAGAATGAAGTTATAGCCATACAGCTTGCCCTGTGTTAGAGAGACATTGAACAAGGCACCTGCATGCCATAGCAAGTTGCTGAAGTCACCTTACTTTTCATGTTGTTACATACCCAGCCCTTTAAGGAGGAGAAAAGCCAAGAACATGACTTTAATATCCTATTAACTCTATACCTTTTTATACTACTTCTAGAGTCTCTTTTACCCTGTTTCTTTTAGTATTTTTAAAATAAGAAATAGCAGGTTGTTAGATTGGAATCTAAGAAAATATGTGCACACACATAATAGTTTCCTATAACCAAAAGAACAGTTACCTCCTTGAGTTTTCATATCTTTTCTGTTTTTTGACCTGTTCATCTATTTTGAAAATCTTATAAATACTCAGGTTTTAAATAATTAAAGTTACTAAAGAACATTGGTAAACATATAATAGCTATGTCCTGATGCCTAATTGTCCCTTGCTTCATCATGCTAGTAAGAATATTGAGACTATTTTCTAATATTACACAACTTAGTTTCTTACCAATTCCTTCTGTTGTGCCTGAATAACAGAGCCAAATATACAATCCAGGCTTGTGAGGGAGCTAGAAAAGGCTGAGACTACTCCATCTGGCTACAGTAGATCCAGGCTAACCTCAAGGAGTCAGTACCCACATTTAAACTAGCTGAGACGGTCTGGCAGGTGTTGGCCAAATACAAGGAAATTAGGGATGACAAGATGGGCTGGATCTAGACACTAGAGGTAAGAAAGGAAGTCCTGGAGAGCTATGGAGAAAAAAGAGAACTCTGAACTTGGAGACTATGCTTTGCTCCAATTTACACTTCCTTGTTGGGTGTTTGGACCCACAGATATTAATTGTAGTCTAAAGGTAAAGAACTTAAGATGTTCTGTATTCCTATATGGGACAGGGGCAGAGGTAATGGGATCATGGAAATTTTCAGAGACTAGATCTGAGTTAAAGTAATTTGCCTCTAGGCCTTTGGGGTCACTTCCTTGGCTTTTTACAAGAATTGCCTAAAGGATACAATTAAGTTATATTAAATTAATATGTTATAGTTGGGGAGAATTAAACTCATATTCACTTGAATTGACATGTTATATTCCCTACTATTGTCATTCCTTGATTTGCTTAGAGGTGTTCCGTTCAGTTACTTGATTCAGTTCATTTTTCTTTTAGTTGAATTGCTCATAATCTTTAGAACCCAGTGCTATTAAAATCCTTCTTTAAAAAAAAATGCTAACCAAAAAAAGCAAAGGATTTTTTAAAATATGTTCTACGCCCCAGGAGTGGTGACTGAGAGCAGCAGTTATTTAGTTAGGCATATACTTCTTTTGGTTGTAATGAATGGTTTTCTCATTTCTGATCCTGTTCTTCTTTTCCCTCAGAAGCAGAAGAAACTCTTTTGATTGATATAGCTTCAAACAGTGAGTATCTTTCTGAATGGAATTGATTTTCATTCAACAAATATTTACTTGAATTCGCACCCTATTTAAGACACCTTTTTTTGCACATCCTTTATCTTACCAACGTATCCTGTATTCTCCACTTTCTTCAAGCAACCATACGAATTAGCATTGTTTCCCAAAAACATTTAGGCTAAGCATAAGAAAAAACGGGTGGCTAGTAAGACTCTTTAAAAAAGTTGAAAAGATGACATACTTTTCTAATGCTGAACTTTTTTGAGCTACCAGTATTATTGCTATCAGTTAAATCATTGCTGTGAAATTGATAATTGTAGGAAGGCCTAGAAAATGTTTAAAGCACATAAGGTTTATGATTTTTTTTGCTGTTTTTTTAACTGCTGTTTTAAGCTTTTTCCCCTCACCTGCTTATTAATTTTACATGTTAAATTATGGTTTCCTTTGTTATATTATTTTGGGAGGCTGTATTGTCCTTCTTGTACCAGGCATACCTTTTTTTCTTAAAATAATTTTGGTATTTTATTTAAGCCCCATTCCCTCAAGGCATCCCTTCATTAGAGAGAACATGATCTCTTCTTACTGTTTTCATTCTTTCATTTGCATCTCTTTGAAGCAAATCATCATTGACTTTCTATGCAAACTGTTCTTTATCATATGATTATACTGTGTTATGGGGAGGAGAAAATAAACATTTGAATGCTACTGTGACAACTCTGTGGTTGCTATGGAAAAGAGTATGTGACCACATGAATCTAAATCAAACTGGTTGCCTTATCTCATGATCGAGTCCTTACATGAGTGGGGCTTGGCTCTTAGCTTGGAGCTGTGGATTATACATACTTTTATTTAGACACAGTCCCTATCCTTGGCACCATTAATTTGCATTGAACAGTTTACATGGGCTTTTTCTGGTTTGGGTTCTATTATTCTTTTCTTTGGTCATGGACTTTGGAAGTCTAAGGGCTGATCCTGAAAGGCTAAGTAAACTCAGCTGCTGGCTTCTACTGCAGGTACACAAGAAATCAAAAATAACTTAATATCTATGTCTTATTGTGCTTAGAAAGGAGAAGGCGAAAAGAACACTAAAAAAGCAAAATATGAGCAAAGGTAACTGATGCTGCGAAAAAAAACATACTGAAATGTCCTGCTCTTGGTGTGGAAATAGGTATTTAATTCAAAGCTGAAAAGTTAAACCAAGCTGTGCCTTTTCCCTTATAAACACCTAATTTATGGCATTAGTTTTTTTTTGGTTTGGTTTTGTTTTTTACCTCTCCTACATAGAAATTAGACACGTGTTGTTTTGTCCAGAGTTCAAGTTATTAGATCATAACCATTTGAATTTTTGTTATTCCTTTGTGATTTCTGTCCACTTAGTAATATTTACACCGAAACCAGATTTTATCTTCATCCTCGGGCTTCATACATAAACTTTAAAGTACACAGTATGTTACAGGAGAGGGACCCTGGGTTTGTTAGGCAGGCCTGATTTTAGTGTAAATATGTATTTTCCCATTATCTGGATGTTGATAGTAAATGGTTTCAAATCATTTTTTTCTGATGTCCAGATAATATATCTTCATTATATACAATTTGAAATTTTCAAAAAGTTTAAAGTATCAAAATTATGCTCCTGCAATCTAGAGATCACCACTGTGTTTAACATTTTTATGTATCTCTTCTACTCTTTTATTTATGCTTTTACATAATTGGAATCCTTTTATGTAGGTTTTATCATGCATTTTCATTTAATGTTGTATTGTGGCATTTTCCCATGTCATTTAAAGATATTTAAAAACATGATTTTTAATGACTAAGATTTCAACACAGATATGTGCCAAACACTCCTTTATTTATTCATTATTCAACATATATTTGTTGAGCACCTTCTATTTGCCAGGCTCTAAGTGCTACACAAGCAGTAGAGAACCACATAGATAAGGTTGCTGTTCCTGCTTTGATTCGTCTTCTGTGCTATTTGGTACTAGTGTTATATAGATACCTATAATTCATTAATTCATTCCATAGAAATATGAATACCTTTTAGGTGCTAGGCACTGTGCTAGATTTTAGGGATTATAGCAGAAAACAATATAGTCATGGTACTTCATAGAACTTAGTGCAAGAAACAGATTTGAAGTTGAAAGTGTAGATACATACTTACAAAACTTGCAGTTTTGATAAATGCTGTCAAGGAGAAATACAAAGAGTTTATAAGAGGGCTAACTAAATTAGGCAGGGTGATCAGGGGAGACCTCTTTGAAGAAGTGACATTTAAATTGAGACCAGAGGGACTAAGAGGTGAATATGGGGAAGAAAAGAGTATTCCAGGTAAAGGGAACCACATGTGAAAAGGTCCCAAATTGAAAAATAACTTGACACTTTCTTGAAATGAAAGAAGGCTAGGGTGCCTGGAATAAGGCTTAGGCACCAAGGTAGGATGAGCTAGAGCCAAATCCGATAGGATCTTCTAAGCCATGATAAGGAATCTGGATTTTTAGATTTAAAAGAAAATAGGAAGAATATGAAAGATTTTATATTGGAATGTCATCATTTGCATGGAAGCCAGTTAGGAGGCTGTTTTGGTAGTTTAAGCTAGAGAGTGTGGTAGAAGTAGAGATGAAGAGAAATGGAAAGATTTGATTAATGTTTTTGGAGGTTAAATCAACAGGTTGGTTTGGGTGTAGTAGTGAGAGGAAGAGAAGGGTCAAGGATGAATCCAGGTTTCTGGCATGAATGTGGATAATGGTACCACTTGCAGATATAAGAACATTACGGGATTACAAGAGGAATGATATTTCCTATGGGGGATCATAAATTCACTTTTAGCTATGTTTAGTTTAAGATTTCTTTGAGACATTTGAGTGTAGAGGATAAAAGTTGTAAATGTATGCATCTGAAGCTCAGAAGACAGGTCTGGGTCACTAGCACATAGTTGGTATTTGAAACCAAGAGTGATGATATGATTGCATGTAGAGCTGTGCCATCAGATGTAGTAGCCACGAGTTACATGTGCCTATTTAAATTAATTAGTAATAAAACTGGGAATTCAATTCCTCGGTTGCACTAGTCACATTTCAAGTGTTCATTAGCCACGTGTGGTCATTGGTTGCCATATTAGACAACACAGTTATAGAACATGTCCCTTATCACAGAAAGTCCTATTGGACAATGCTATAGAGTAAGTAAAACTTTTAGGATTGAACTCTAAGGAACTCTGCTTTGTAAAGGTTAGATAGAGAAGGAGATACCTCAAGGGGCACTGAAAACTAGTGATGAGAGAGAGAGAGAGAGAGAGAGAGAGAGAAAGAGAAAGAGAAAGAGAAAGAGAGAAAGAGAAACTATGTGAATATGGTGTCATAGAAGTCTTTAGAAAAAAATATTTCAAGGAGTGGTCAACTATTGATTTCTGCTAATAGGTCAAACGAGATGACTGAAGAATATCCATTGGATTTAGCAATGTGGAGGTTATTGGTGACCTTAACAAAGCCATTTCATAAGGGTTGTGGAAACCAAAGTCATTTTTGGAGTGAATTAAAGAGAAAAATGGGAGGTGAGGAAGTAGCTTGGTTTTTTGAAGAAGCTTGACTGCAAAGAAGAATATAGATATGGACTAGAATCGGAGGGAAATATGGGGTTTAGGAAGATTTTTTGTTTTTAAAATGGGGAGGATCTAGAACACAATTTAATGCTGATGAGAAGTAGCCTATGAAAGGGAGAGGTTAAAAATATTGGGAGGAAGTGTCTAGGAATGATTGTGAGTGTACAATTTCCGAGAGAATCAGAGAGGTTGTAATTCAAAGAGAGGGTGACCTTTGATAGGAGTACTTTTCTTGTATCAGAAGGGAAAAGAGATGAGTAAAAATACAGGATGGCTTCCATTTTCTCTGAAATATGAGGTGAGGCAATCAACTTGTAATGAGAGGGCTTGAAAAGAGGGGGATCCAGAAATTGAGGATAAATGAGAAGGTATGAAATAGTTGTTCTTGATAGTCACAGGAGACTGATTGACTATGGAAACTTAGTTGCTTCCTATCGTAGAGTGCCCAATTGAGGTTAGTTATCAATTTATAATGGTGTGTGTGTGTGTGTGTATCTGTGTCTATGTGTACACAGATTAAGTACAGAGAAGGCAATTAGTTGGATTTCTGAGGGTTGATTGTTAGCCAGGTAGGTGCTATGGAAGAACAGAGTGGTAAGGCAGTTCTGGGTATTTGGAACAGAGTATAATGATGTCATATGTTTGGTAAAAAGGGAAGCGAAAGTAGGAGGGAGTGAATGGATACTGAGGAAGTGAAGGGATCAATGAGCTGGAGGTTCCCATGTGAGCAAGGAAGCTGGAAGAAGTAACAGGTCAGAGTGGGATGTCTGAATTAGAGTTTTATGAAGTGGTGATGTTTCTATGATGAAAAGGTCCAGGGTATAACTGAGGGAGTTCCAGTAGGGACTGAGGGAGTATGTGGCTGAGATGGAGGGGCAAGATCATTGGATAAGGCAGTTGAAGGCATTGACCGGGTTTTCTGTGTTAATTTTGAAGGGACCCAAAATTAAGGCAGAAGTTTGAGTGGAGAGGAAGTCTTATGAGTCAGGTATTGAACCCTGGATTCAGAATTTTCTGGGAGGATAGTAGATGATCTCATGGAGGAAGGAATAGAAGAAGCTGGTATAGCCCATTGGGTGAGACTCAAAGGAGAAAAGATTTTACCTCAGGGAGGAGAGGGAATGGCCTGGAGATAGCATTATGACAAATAAGGACACCAGTCTTAAATTACATAGGATATGAGAGACTATAAACAGCCTTCACTTCAGAGAGCTACAGGGAGAGTTCTGTTCTCAGGGACCAGTCAGTTGCAGGTGACTCTGATTTTCAATCTGGATGCACATTAGAATCACTCAGAGAGTATTTTAAAAGCTACCAATGTGTGGACTTTACCCACAGAGATTGTTTTATTGGCCTGGGGTGGAGCCCAAGTATCAGTATTTTAAAAAGTGCCTCTAGTAATTCAAATACAGCCATAGTTGGGAACCACTGAGAGATGCAGGGAATGTTCAGAAGAGAAGTTGAGGATCTAGGAGTGTTTGCTGATTACAAAGAGTCCAGAGGGTTTTGGAAGGGAGCCAAGTACAAGGTTAGGTCGTGGGATAATTTGTCCTCTTTCCCATGCAACATGTTGAGGCAGTATCTAGTGTTATTTTGTAAGCAATTTCTGGAGTCTTCTGTTTGTTAAATGGATTAGTTTATTTTTTATGTTTGCTAAAATATATCTTTCAAGGATTATGGGAGAGAGGTATATGTTCTTGTTCTGTTTCTTTCAGATAGAAACTTCTCTCTCTCTCTCTCTCTCTTTTTTTTTTTACTGCTTCTGATATAAATTATCTGAGAAAGAAAAGATTGCTCATACCCTGAAGGAGTTTTCAAGGCTGCTCCTAATTGGTGATCTTTGTTTTTCCCCTCCTCCTTACAGTGGCACCATCGTTCATTTTCTTATTTCTGGTCCACTTGGATGCCTTCTTTTTCATTTCTCTGTTTTCATCTCTTTTCTTCTTCTGACCATTAAATCTATGAAGATAGAAACTTAAGGAAAGGCAAAGGAAAAGAGGAGAGTCAAAGGTTCAGAAGTGAATTTCCACCATAAGAAACTAGGATTTTCTTCTATGGCCATGCCACCCTAAACGTGCCCGATCTCGTCTGACCTCGGAAGCTAAGCAGGATTGGGCCTGGTTAGTACTTGGATGGGAGACCACCTAGGAATACCAGGTGCTGTAGGCATAAAAAAAAAAATAAAAGAAACTAGGATTTTCATTTCATTTTCTCACTTCTTTATTACTTACAAGTGTGAAAAAGTCCAGTTAAACAGTTATATATTAAATGCCTTCTGTCTGCAAAGTCTGTCATCATTATTGCCTGTAAAGTGACCAACCATCCCTGTTTGCCTGGGACTTTCCCGGCCTTAGCTTTGAAAGTCCTGAGTCCTGAGAAGTCCCTCAGTCCCAAACAACCCTGGGTAGACCATCAAAAGTTACGTTGGATAACCTGTATGTGCCCCCTGCCTCTTGCTCTTAAGTAGCTTATAGTTTCCAGAGGAATGAGAAAGCAATACATATAGTAAGTCAGTTAAAATAAATATATAAACAAGTACATAGGTTTCCTGGATCACCATATCCAGATGATTGATACAGATGATAACTATAGGGCATCAGAAAAAGGGAGACAGTATGTTGTATACATAAGAAACTAAAGTCCTAGATAACCTCGCTTCTAATTATACTGTTTTCCAATTGGCTATACTTGAACCAAACCACTCATGACCATAGGTCATTATATTGCTTTTGTGAGTTTATTCAAGATGTACATTTTTCTCTTGTAATGAGGTATAGATGCTTCTTTTCGGAATGACTCAAACCAATCCCACAATTCTTTTCTTTTTTAATTAGTTTGTAAATTCAGTTGGCTAAGTATAGTTTGTACCTAGGAACAAGCCATCCTATTTCCTTTATTCCCTTCATGCTTCAGATACTCTTACTATATGATCTGGATTTAAAATAGTAGGAATTTCCAGCTGAGAGATGGGGGAAGGGTAGTTGGAGAATTAATCTTTTACTAGAATTTGGTGGTCCCTGCATTAACATCTAAGAGATATATCAGAATGTAGAAAACTATGATTTTAGTATGTATCATATCACTCTATTAGGCTGCTCATTGACATAGTCATTAGCCCTTTAGATTTCCTTCTCCACATCACCCCTAAATCCTGCATCTCCCTACTACCACCACTACCACCATGATGAATACCTTGATCTTGTAGACATACTTCCTATATTAGAGGTCTGGGATATTTGTGATGTGGACCTTGTCTTATTAAACTGGTAAGTTGGGAATACAATCCCAAGAAAACATTGTATTCCATAGCTCTGTGTGTATGGATTTCAAATCTCTTTAGGTGGCTGCAAAATTCGGGTTCAGGGGGACTGGACCAGAGAGCGCCGCTTTGAAATCTCTGATGAGGAGCACTGTTCGAAGTTCTTGTCAAAGGTCCTTGCAGCTCAGGAAGGTAACTCAAGACTCAGAAGTTTTCTTTCTACTATTTTAATGGGAGTGAAATTCTGATATGCTGATACAGAGGTAAGCAGCCGTGAGCAAAGTACCTCACCCCCTGAGCTTTGATAGCTGAATTTCTTTAAATTCAGAAATGACCCCAGGGATGGGTTAGGGAACAAGTGTATTTGACTTTAAGGACACTGAGCCAATTTCCAGGATCTCTACAGTCATGGCATGGACATCTTACTGCAGACTGTAATCTGCCTTCTACTCCCAGATGATCCCCAAGCTGCCCTCATTTTCTTAGTCTTTTCCTTTATATTCAAGAATACTACTGGCCCTGCATTTGAAGAGTGCTGAGTGAATGGCTTTTGGTTATGGTAAATTCTGCTCAATGAAGGGCTCCTCAGTTTCTGACCATGAACCTTATCTCTCCAGCACAGTCACAACTTCTTGTTCCAGAGCAAAAGGACTCATCCAGCTGGTACCAGAAATTAGACACTAAGGACAAACCTTCTGTCTTTTCAGGTACTGAAAAGATTCTTTTCGTGGTTGTTTTGCTCATTGCTGAGTCAGTAAATTTTATCTGGATAGATAAAATAATGTAGATTAATGTCAACGTCAGACACTTCCTATAGAGTGGTTGTATGGAGTCCATGCCCACTGACTGTTGTACACTCCTTATTCTTTCTGTGGTATGTTAGCCCTTCAGGAGCCAGCTTAGCAGTGTGGTAAAAAATGCAGGTACTAGAGCCACACTGCCCGGGTTTGAATTCCAAATCCTACAACATACTAGTTATATGACCTTGATCAAGTTACTCAACAACTCTTAGCTTTCATTTGTTTTTCTGTGACATAGGAAGATTTTTAATAGCACTGACCTCAGTGGGGATCTTTGCATTGACTAAGTGAGATAATAATATAATCCCTTACTATCAACCAAGCTTTGTACTAAGTCTTCAGCAAATGTTAGCACTCATGTAAGGTCCAAATTAATGTAACTTACTGTTGTTCTAGTTAATATGTCAAGTACTTCAAGGACAGACATGCATCTTCCCCCAACCTAAGTTATCATTACCTTTTTGTTTGGTATTTGCCTTTGACCATGTACTGATCAAATCAAAACCACTGATCAAAGCAAAGCCCTATCTATCCTGGCTAAGTTGGATGTTAGCTCTCCCTCCTTTGACACTGGGTTCTGTTCCTTCAGGGCTTCTTGGATTTGAGGATAATTTTTCATCTATGAATTTAGACAAGAAGATAAATTCACAGAATCAGCCTATGGGGATTCATCGGGAGCCCCCACCTCCACCCCCTTCAGTGAACAGAATGTAAGTCCCGTGTCAAAACATATTTCCCATGTAAGTGACTTTTCTATTTTAGGCAGTTTCACTTTTGAATTTCTCATTTATTTGCTAGGCTTCCACGTGACAAGGAAGCTTCTAACAAGGAACAGCCCAAAGTGACCAACACCATGCGGAAGCTCTTTGTACCAAATACCCAGTCTGGGGAGCGGGAGGGTCTCATCAAACATATCCTGGCAAAGCGAGAGAAAGAATATGTCAACATTCAGACTTTCAGGTACTCTCTTTTACTTACTGAGGTATAGCAGAAAATGGCCTTTTGATATTTAAGGTATTAGTTTAATTAGCTTAATTAGGAGTCAAAGCATAATAAAAAGGAATGGTCAGCTAATTCAAGACCCCGTCTCTATCCAAAATAATGCAAATACTACAATTTCTCTTGGATTTTCTAACTACTGATGATACCATGTCTATTAATGTTTCTATCTACTCTTAGAGAACCAAATCAAGCTCACATGTACTAGAGAACTGTTCCTTAGCACATTCCATAAGCAAGTATGTTTATCTACCTGGCCTGCCAAATATTTCCCCACTAATATTGGAAAATTAAAGTCCACCATTACTACTAGATCTTAACTTACTTAATTTTAATAGTTAACTAATGAAAGTTTTGCCTAATCCTCTTGATAGTGAAGTCTGTCTTGGATTTTTCCCTCTGTATTATATTTTTCATGTCACCTTGTTGATATCTTCTTTTCTGGGCCCAGTGTGTATGGTATGTGGTATGGCATGGCCTAGTATGTTTCCCAGTGTACAAAGCAGTAACACTTTGTTATTTGTGAATAGCCTGTACCCTTCTAGCCCAAGATTCCAGTCACATGTGCCATCACATTATGCCTCATTTATTCTAATTTAATTGTAACTATATCCCTGTGACAAAACCTCCAGTTCCTCTTCTTCCCATCATGCTTATATTCGTATATAAACAGTTAAGACAATCATGAGTTTTCCCTTGTGCTTACCCCCTTAATACTGTATCTGCCTCAACAGAATTTCCTACATGAGTGTCCTTGTAATCCTTTGGGAAGTAAGTTTTTGGATTCAACTACAGCTCCTTACACAACAGTAATCCATATCAGACATGCTTATAGCATGAAGGTACCTCTTTACCATCCACAAACTCTCTTCAAATATGAGTTCGAATGGAGTTTAATTGAAAGGAAATGTGGTAGAGCAATTAACTCTGTGTATTTAAAATAGAGACTTGGTTCCTTTTTGTAGATTCACCTAATGTAAAACTTAGAATAAGTTCACTGCCTTTGTGTTCTACATGCAGAAGGTTTTACTTACGTGTGTGGCAAAACATTTGAGAAATTATGTTGGCTTATCGTTAACATACCATTGTCTTAGAAGTGATGAGAGAACTTCCATTAGTTCATTCTTGACCTTTGTTTTTACATTATTTTTTGGTATTACATATTAGATTTTTTGTTGGAACTTGGAACGTGAATGGCCAGTCTCCAGATAGTGGATTAGAACCATGGCTGAACTGTGATTCGAATCCTCCTGATATCTACTGCATTGGGTAAAGAACACGTCTAGAATTTCCTTTTGGCTATGTTTAGTGTTAGTTCACATGACATTTTGCCTTCTTTTTTTAAAAAAAAACTATTTGGTAAAAACCTACTGTAGACTATAAATGAGAGTTAACTTGTAGGTCAAATTTGTGAGATCACAAAGGAACAGATACCTAAAATGGTGTAAGGAAGCATCTAGATCTCTCGAAAGACATAGAAAACTATGTTCTTCCTAGAAACTAAGACATGACTTCAATTCTAACAGTGTCTGTCCCTAGGATATATAATCAAAGCTCTACTGTTACCCCATATGGAGGTTTTTTTGTTTAAATCTTGTATAGCCTGTGCATATGCTTGTGGGGAGTCTTTGAAAAAGAAAGCTACTTGTCCTTACTGATCACCTGGGTCAACAAAATAGTTCTTTAAAATTTCTCTTTTCCATGCTTTTTTTTCATCTGATGTCTCATAATAGGACAGGAGGTAGTCAGAGATAATTATGGGATATGTATAGATCTCACATCCTCTTGCTTCTCAGATTTCAAGAGCTAGACTTGAGCACAGAAGCCTTTTTCTACTTTGAATCCGTAAAAGAACAAGAGTGGTCCATGGCTGTGGAAAGGGGTTTGCATTCCAAAGCCAAGTACAAGAAAGTAAGCCACATTTAATTATCTTTTTTAGTATATGACTAAATAGAACTCCCTAGAAGTTATTCTTGTTATCTATGGCTTGTTCCAAAAGATGGTTTAATTGCATTCTTTCCCACATATAATACGGGAACAGGGCAGACTAATCCTTTTTATACCTATTTCCTGGGGAAAAAAAATTTCCCTGAGCTTCCTGATTCTATATATTCATAGCTCGGGTAGCTTTTAGGAGAAAGAAAAAAAGAATTTTGTTCTCATAACAATAATTAACTCAAACTAATTACATGTAAGGTAACTGATTTGTGCACTAAGAGTTAAGATTGAAGTTGTTAACCAACATGGTCAGAACTGGATGCTTACAGAAAACCAGTCTGAAGCATGTGGGTACTTAGGGTATGCTTTGGAATCAGAGCACGAATAGAAGTGTTGTGGAGTTTAAACGAGTTCTAAACTTGGTTGCAAGTCAAGAGTAGAGTTGACTTTAGCAAGGTGGACCAATTTGTTGGTCTTTAGAGGGCCCAAGGTAGAGGCTACCAGAAGAGGTATTTTAATTTCAGGGCTACCATAGTAAGACCTGTAAAAGGAGTCATCTGCCTGAGTAATTTTTGTCTATATCTTCTAACAGTTGATGTAGGTTATAAAACTCCTGATGGTGTTATAGGTCCCTAGCTAATACATATTTCAGACATTACTAGCTCTAGTTCACAGATTTAAAATGATCGAAATAAAAAGGATTGCTGTTTTATAAATGTCAATTTCTTAGGAAATTGGAAATTGGAAACTAGGAAGGAGGGGAAAAAGGAACAAGCTGGGATAGAGGCTTTCTCTTTATTATTTGACTTTTTAATGCTCCTTACTTCTGATAGGCTAAAAAGTGATTAAAATAATGGGTCTAGAGCACAGTTCACTCATTGTCCCCAAAGACTTTTAACCCTTACTGGTCAGAGCCAGATAAGAGTTCACCAGAGAAATTTCGTTCTTGATTTATGAGGTCAACTAGGAAATGAGATGATTTGGATTCAAATTTGGGCATCTTTCTATCTTTTTGGTAGAAAATTAGTTGTGGGAAGTTAGATATGTGGTATCTAAAAAGAATGGTATTAACATGAACTTTTCTAACTCCCTGGAACTCGTAGGTTCAACTAGTTCGCCTTGTTGGGATGATGCTTTTGATATTTGCCAGAAAGGATCAGTGGCGATATATCCGTGATGTTGCTACAGAAACAGTTGGAACTGGAATCATGGGGAAAATGGTGAATACCTTAGGAAATGAGCTTGATTATTATTTATGTCTGTATGAAGTTCAGTTGATACATGTGTCTTTGTTCTAACTGAATAATTACTCTTGCCAACAGGGAAACAAGGGTGGGGTAGCTGTGAGATTTGTATTTCACAACACTACCTTTTGCATTGTCAATTCCCACCTGGCTGCCCACGTGGAAGACTTTGAGAGAAGGAATCAAGATTATAAGGACATCTGTGCACGAATGAGTTTTGTGGTCCCAAATCAGACCCTCCCACAGCTGAACATCATGAAACATGAGTGAGTGGTTAAATCTCCTTTAGCCTTTGAATAGTGGGGCTGAGAAGAGATTAAACATGGCAGGAAACTATAGAACTGTGACGAGTGAGGGATTACCATTTAGGGATTGGGAGTCACAAAGAAGAGAGGACTTTTGAGAAATAACAGATTCATTGAGGCAGAGAAATTGGATTTGCTATCAGAGGAAAGGTTAGTTCTGTTAGAGAGCATCTAGAGTAATGCAGAAAGGGTCTGTCAGTTGGAGTCAGTTTTTTTTTTATCATTACAAAGTAGAAATGTTCATCATGAATGTAATAATAGATAAAATTAAAAGTAAAATTTCCTCATCATACCCTCTGCTCTCCCCAGCCAGTCCCTTTCTCCAAAGGAAACCACTGTTAGCAGTTTGGTGTGTATCCTTCTAGGTCTGTGCTGTCCAATATGACAGCCAGTAGTCATGGGTAGCTAAGGGTACTGGAAAGCAGCTAGTTTGAGTTGAGATGTCCTGTAAGCATAAACTAATCAGTGAGTTTCAGAGATTTCATATGGAAAACATGTCAAATTTTCAAAATTTTAAATATTGATTACGTGTCGAAATCATAATAATTTGGATATATTGAGTTAAATGAAATTTATTGTTAAAGTTATTTTCATTTGTTTCTTTTACTTTTTAAATGCAACTACTAGAAAATTTTTAATTACCTTCACTATGTGCATTGTATTTCTTTTGAATAGTGTTGTTCTAGACTTTGTCTATGCACATACACACGCCTACTTGTTATATAGGACTATATTATTCTATTCATTGTGGATCTCTTTTCAAGCCAGTATATATAGATCTACATTATTCCTTTTAATAGCTGTGGCATTAAGAATAAGGGTGGCAAAGATTTAAAGACCCCAGTGAATCAGTAGGATAATATAAGAGAAAGGCTAGTGAAGAATGAGACTTAAGGATATAGAAGCAGAAATCAGTTGAGAAATGTATTGAGTGGTAGAAAATGATTAGTCGTAAATTAGTTTGGAAAAAGTCATTTGAGATGGGAATTATAGGAAAACAAAAGATAATTTAGGGGTATTAGAATCAATAGAGAGTAGGGTGATTGAGGACAGAGTAGGGAAGAGTAGCGATGTTGGCCCGTTTCCATATAGTCTCAACAATTAGGAACATATGAAATTCTTTTCCACAGTGAAATCAAGACCTTGATATTAATGTCATAAAGTTGCCCTGAAATTTTATAGATTTATTTCCCTAAGGTTCCAGAAATTTCATGTTGCACTTAAGATTGGCAGAGACTCATTCAGAACTTGCGATAGCTTATAGGAGAATCCATTTTGATACAGTTTCAGGGTCTCACCTGTGGGATTCTCAGCACATTTAAGAGTCTGTTGCTGTGATTGGGAGCCTGAGGATCACATGGGAGCCTGCATCCCATAGTATGCCAGTCTCTTTCCTGCCTGGGATTTGGAGTGCAGATCTGGTGCAGCGATAGACAGATTGGCTGCAGTGGAAAGCCCCAGATTCACTTTTCCTAGTGAGCCCTGCCTATGAGAGCTGTTGTTCGGGCCACGCAGACCTTAGCGAAGAGTCTGCAGAACATCAGGGCTTAGCGAGGCAGAAAACATTCAGATTCCCCAAGAGACCTGGCAAACAACCAGGCAAAATTTTACTGAAAGCTAGTTCAGTAAATAAACTACATGGTTCTCTCAGGCAGTTAACTCCTTGGCTTCTGAATCCCATACATATACTGTATTTCCCCATCTTTGTTCTTCGTGTATGGAGTGCCTATCCACCCACCTATTTTGTAATCCCTAGTCTCTCTCAGGTTGTCAGATAGCGATAAATGAATCCTTATCAATAATCTACCCATTTTTCTGCTCTCCATTCTTCTCTGATTGATTTTTATGCTAATTATTGGTACTTCATTTATATATTTCTTGATCTTCAGTGTTGTTATATGGTTGGGAGATTTGAACTATAGACTTTGCATGCCTGATGCCAATGAAGTGAAGGGTCTTATTAACAAGAATGACCTTCAGAGACTCTTGAAATTTGACCAGGTAAGTATATTTTCATTTTATAGGTACTTTCTTAGATAGCAGATAAAATTGTTAGGTTTATGAGATAGATGTGTGGAAGGTGTGACTTACTCTAGAAATAGATGGAAAGGTCTCATTGTCTTGGGGAACAGTGTGACTAGTGATGCAGTGAATACACACAAGGTTTGTAGTGCATTTATTAAGCACTTAGGTGGTAGAAAGAGAGATAGTTTTAGTGATAAAAATATATAAGGTTTATTCATCAAGTCTTTATCAAGAAGAGATTTGTGTCAGTAAGTTGAGGAATGGTTGGGATGAATTGGAGAACACTTCCTGGAGGAAGTGGGCCTTCAGCTGTGTTGATGTAGTTTGGCAGATGGAGCAGGGAAAGCTGCTCTGTGATTACTTGGCAGGCTCAGCAACATCTTGGCAGTAAAAGGGAGGCCCTGTGAGGGGATTGGGAAGCACAGAAGAAAAGTCTGGTACAAATAGCACAGACTGTGGTCTGATAAAAATTGATTGAAAAGTTTGGGATAGCTAGGTTATGGATGCTAAAACCTGTGGGGAAAGCATCGATTTGGTAACATGTATATAAAACTTGATATTCAGGAAGCTAGTTTTCTGTTAATTTTCCTTGGAACCTAGCACGTGACTTGAATTTTTATTTCAGCTTATGGATACTGGCTGCTAAAAGTGAATGTTTCTTAATGAGGAAAGAAAATGTTTCAACTTGATTTGAATGTCTTTAAATCTTTGTGTGAGACCTTTTGATTTTCTTTAGTTAAAATTCAGGTGTTTTATAGTAGAATGGTTTTTGTAGTAAGCCTGTCTTGGCCAAGTCTTCCTTCGCATTGAGGTTACCTGGCTAATTTCTTTATATGGCATCCTCTCCTGCCTCCAAAGAGCATACAGTTGGAATAAATTTGGAGTCTTATGTAATTCTAGTAAATAGTTGAGCAAGGATAACTTTCAAAATGATCTGTAACTATTTGCTGAATTTGGCTTTAGGAATTATTCATTCAACATTGTGTGCTTTTTTAAAAAATTAAAATTGTACTGGATGGTTCCTGTCCAACTTCAGGGAACTGGTGAGTTTAGGTGCTGTGAGGCTACAGAAATTTTATTTCATAAGGTACAGAAATTTTATTTATGTACTCTGACAATGGCAAAGGCTGTGAAATTAGATACTTCGGAATGGCTGATCAGTATGATTGTCACTTATTTTAAGATGGTATTACCCTGCTTATGTGATGCTTCTTTCCCTTGCCAGCTAAATATTCAGCGCACACAGAAAAAAGCTTTCGCAGACTTCACCGAAGGGGAAATCAAGTTTATCCCCACTTATAAGTATGACTCTAAAACAGATCGATGGGATTCCAGGTAAAGTAGCAAGAACCTCCTCATGGAATATGTTAAGACCCTATATTATTTCTGTCCATCCATACTGGTGAAGGGCTAGGAAATTTTTAGGTCATGCAGAAGCAGATATGAAAAATCTAATGGCTCAGTACTATTACAGAAGTTTTTAATTCATGTGTACTCAAAGGTGAGTGTATCTTAAAAACGTATAACTTCTATATCAGGGCTGTTAAAGTTTTATGGACTGCCTGCAATGCCTTATTTCTGTCACCTCAGCAGACTTGCTTAGATTTTTGACCTTCCTGATCTTGCCCCTATTTCCTTACCATTGCCCTGTTCTGTTTTTTCCAAACTGTTTCTTAACTTTTTAACTTAAGACACCAGGAGATGAAAACAAAGAGCCATGAAAGGTTTTTCTAGCACAGTGATTCTCAGTCCTGAGTACATATTAGAATCTCTTCGTGCTTTAAAAAATACTGATGCCTGGGCCCAACCTATGTAACTGATAATGAAAGCTGAGACCCACTGTCTGGGAGGCCCTTTGATTTCCTAATTACTCTCAGTAAAGTGCCATTGTCAGTCCATTCCTGGTAACTACTTGTCTTCTACCTACCATCTATTTCTTTGTTTCCTGTGGTTTGCTGGCTGGCTGAGTCCAGAAACTCGAAAGAGTGAATCCCTGGGTATATTCATCTTCTTTAGACTCAGAGAATAATAGAGTGTGGTAAGGAGAAGTCTGTGCTCCACAGGAGCTGGTCAGCAAGTGAAAAGGGACACTGACAGAAGATCTGTACACTGGCCTTATTTCTTACACTCACCTGACTTAAGAGTCAACTTACGAGCTACTGATAAGAACTTATTTGTGTCACCTTCTGGATCAAGTGTATGAGGTTGGTTATTTTAATAGAATGACGAGTGGGCATTTTCCCTATCCTTGATACTCTATGGGCTCTTATGTATTCAGACTTGGCATACTTAGATGTTAGTTCATTTCTATTACAAGAAGCTAGGCTTGTCCATAAAAGTTCAGGTTTAAAGGAGAAATCTCTACTATTACTCATATCCAGAGATTAAGCCCAGTCTAGGAATATAGGATTGGAATTTTAGATTAGTTGTCTATCTGTTGTGAAGTATCATTGCAGTTCATAGAGCTGCAAAGGAAAAGGAAGAGGATGTGTTCTGAATATAATCCTGACCTTCTGAGGATATTTTAAGAGAGTATTATTACACATTCCCATGGGACGAGGTTGTTGAAGTTATAGTACTAATCTTAGGAGCACTGTTCATTCATTCATTAGATAACTGTCCATTGAATACCTGTTTTGCAACAGATACTGTGCTAGGGGCTGAGAATTCAGTGGCAAACAAGTAGACACAGTCCCTTCACAGAGCTTGCAATATAGTAGGGAAGATAATAGTTGGGGTTGTTAAGAAAGGATAAGTATATAAGAAGAGGGCCTAACCCAGGTCTGAACCAGTGTGGTAGATTATACATTCTTACATGGGATATTCTCTTTATAATTTTCTTTATTTGCAGTGGGAAATGTCGGGTTCCAGCATGGTGTGACCGAATTCTTTGGAGAGGAACAAATGTTAATCAGCTTCATTACCGGAGTCATATGGAACTGAAAACCAGTGATCACAAGCCCGTTAGCGCCCTCTTCCATATTGGGGTAAACACTTGCTTGTTCTTTCATTTGTCTTTGTGTTAAGTATATATTCTTAGAGCGTTATTTAGACTCAGAACAGATCAGTAATTCAGTGAGCCATAAATGTTTCCATAGCCAGTCATTTGCAACGTTGAGAAGTTAGTGCCCTCGACCCTCCTAAATGCTGTCTCTGTGGCTCTTAACGCTCCAGACCGTTTAGTGACACAGATGTTTCTCATGCTGCATAATGGTAGTAATCTTAGCCTCCTAAAGTCCTCATACATAAAAAAGAGAGGCTAAGTTTTAGAGGATGAGTAGCTTTTCATCAAATAAATAGTAAGGAGCAGAAGCACAGGGAGAGAGATTCTAGGTGGAGGGGTGGAGATAGCAGGAGCAAAGGTACAGACTGGCCAGAATACAACCAAATTTCTGAATACCATAAGCATATTGTCAACCCTACTCTAGTGAAGTTTTCCCATCCAGCAGCACAGGTTATAAATTTTTCTTTAACTTTACTGTATCCTGAGCTAGATGAATGACCAATTATTTAATTTTTGTCTCTTTTATAAAGTTTTTGTTTTCACGTTGTATTTTCTACCTGTGTTATTAGTATGCAAGTTATAACTTGGGATCTTATTGATTTAATTTATGACAGCTAGCACGTTTAGGTTTTTTCTTGTAGATTTTTTCAGATCTGTGGTCATGCAGTTTGTCAGATTCTACATAACGCAGTGCTTGATAGGTTGGACTTTGTAGCTCGACTGCTTAGATTTTTATCCCAGCTCACTCACTTTCTGTATAACCATGAAAAATTTATGTAACATCTATGTGTCTCAGTTTTCTCCTCTGTAAAATGGAAATAAAATAGTACCTACTTATGAGGATTAAAGAGGTAAGACATGCAAGAGTATAGGAGGGTAGTTACTTTCCTCTGCGTACATGTCAATTTTGGAGGCTTCTGAGATGGGTTATCACCAACCTGTCTTATTGTACTCTTTTCTTAAAGGGAAATGACTTTAAGGCATTTCTTTTATTTGTAAAAATAGTTCTTCATCTTAGAATAGAGTCTAAATTTTACTGAGGCAATCATGACTTTACTTTTGTCCATTTTGAAATTTTAAAATAATAATGAATAATAGTAAGTGTTCCTCAAATAGTAGCTAGTATGTGTCAGGGACTGTGCTAGGCAATTTACACACATCTCATTAAGTCCTTCCAACAATGCTTTGAGTTAAATATTTCTCTTTTAACAGATGAGCAAATGGAGAACCAATGCATTTAAATAACTTCTTTAAGAGCATTCAACTAGGATTGCTGAGAATCAAGTCTTAAGTCTGTTTAACTCCTAAGCTATAGATGCTCTTTCTACTACCTCCACAATGCCTCTGTAGTTCCAAAGAACTTACTAACTAGATATGCCTTCAGATACTATATTTTTAATCCCACCTAATTTCTAGTTTATACTTGGGGACTGCCCTGTTTTCACCATTTGAGTATTCTTACTCCATTTTTAAAAGGATGTCTTTCCCCAAACACTAACCTTTTTGATTTAATCAGCTATGCTTGGCTTTTTTGTTTGTATTTCTTTTCATAACCTTGGGATATTTGTGATATTCCATATATATTAATCCAGAGCTCTCAGCAGGATATTTAAAATGTTTCCATACTTGTATATTTTTGTGCATCTTTAATAAAGGTCTACTGTTGTAGTTTTTAATACTTTTTAAATTACTCAGGAACTCAATTAAATTTAAAATGAAAAAATATATATTTTAAGGAAAATTTACAGATAAGGCTGAAGTTTTTCAATTACTATTGTATCCCTCATTCCCACCTTTACCCAAACCCCCACTCCCCAACCAGCCCAGTTACCCTTAGGAATTTATGTTTTTCTAGACCAGCACTGTCCAATAGGTTTTCATGTGATGATGGAAATGTACTGTCCAGCACAGTAGCTACTAGCTGCTACTAGCTGCTGGTGGCTATTGACTATTTGACATATGGCTAGTGTGACTTAGAGAACTGAATTTTCTATTTTATTTACTTTGAAGTAATTGGAATGTTCCTGTGTGGCTACTGGCTATTCTATTGACTGCACGGTTCTAGACCTTTGCATATACTTTTCTGTTTACCCACAGACAATATAGTATTGCTTTGCATGCTGGTGTGTATATATCATAAATGGTCTCATATGTGTTGAGACCAAATGGCAGTCCCCAAGTATAAACTAGAAATTAGGTGGGATTAAAAATATAGTATCTGAAGGCATATCTAGTTAGTAAGTTCTTTGGAACTACAGAGGCATTGTGGAGGTAGTAGAAAGAGCATAAATGGTCACTATATGTGTTGGTCTGCAGCTTGCTTTTTGTTTTAAATTCAGTGTCATGTCTTGGAGAGCTATCCATGTGGTTACATAAAGATCTAGCTCGTTGCGCTTTTTTCTTAATTGCTGATTTTGTCAGTGATTTCCTTTTCTGAAACGGATGTATCAGGTGGTGACATTCTATGGTGTTTTCCCCCTTTATTATCCTTAATGTGCCATTAAGGGCAATGATCATGATAACCTGCTGAGAAAAGCTTCGATTTTATTGAGTAACCACCATATTTTAGACTCTTGGGCATGCTATGATTAGAGGTTTTAAAAGCCACATTATATTTTTACCACCATTAGTATCAGTGACTGTTAACAAAGAGACCAAGTGCTTAGTGACAAATTAACTTTAGAAGACTTGCTGTGAGCTGGCTGAGATTAAGCTGAGATAGGGTTCCCACCCTTGCACTTGGTAATGGTATCTGTTGCTTTGGTTCTCAGACTTTGGTAGACATAAGAATCGCCTGGAGAGCTTTGAAAATGCAGATGCATGGACCCCAACCCCAGAGATTATGATTAGTAGGCCAAAAAAATCTGCATTTTTAATGCCTACCTGAGTTGATCCTCTTGCCTACCTGATATTTTGTAAAGGGTATTACACTAGAGGTCCAGGTATCACCTGTGGTATTAACTGTATCAGCAATTTAGTTGATCTTTTTGTATCTCAATGTTCTCAACTATTAGAAGAAGAATAATCCTTGCTTTGGTAGCCTCGCAGGTTGTTGTGAAAATAAGATGATACATGTAAAATACTTTTTGAGATAAAAAGTTGCAAAGTTTTGTGAAAGTATTTAGAAAGTATAAAATTCTTCTCAACTTGATGCTATAGTATGACCGTTGTGACACTAGTGATTGCTTGCTCCTAGTTCTCAAGTGTTATATTTCAGATATGTAAAAACCTCCCCAGTCTTTGAGATAATTGACTCAGCTTTAATGTTTTTATTTCCCACATCACAACCTCTACTACCTGCATCAACTTTTTTTTGACATCGAATTTGTGAAGTTTTCCATTCTAAAAAGAAACCGGGTTTTCAATAAGTTAAAATGCTGTGTTAATTATGTTCATTTTTAGCATAGATTTGTATGAAGTTTTAATAGTGAAGAAAGTGCAGCTATGTCAGGAAGCTGAAAGTGCTGTGTCAAATGGGAGGTTTTTGATCTCTTCGTCAGAATGACTTGTCTTTTGTCACACTTTTATCTAGGATATTTTGGGTTAGCCATTTACTAAAATGGCCATAGGCTCTATTTACTAACATACCTTTATCATTATAATCTGAGCATTGATATTATGATCCTTAGCATTGTGTATGGCAGCAAATAGAGCTAAGTGCTTTCTTTAATCATCCTTTCTGCTATTTCAATAGTTTATGATCATTGTTAGAAACAATTAACAGGTATGTTTTGACACTGTTATTCTGTACAGTGCAGGAAATCATTTTACAAAATCATCACATCTTCACCACCACCTAATAACCATGGAGCAAGAAAATATTCTTCCCAAATATTTATAGTTATTGCCAAGCTTCTTAGCACAGAGGTTCAATTTTTCCAGGAAAGTAACCAATTAACCTTACCTTTACTTGAAAGTGTGTGATTCTGTAATGCTTAGTTTAATTTATATTTGCTTTAGTGACCTTTTAAAAATTGTTAGACTCTTAGAGATATTTAAGTCGAGAGCCTATAAGACTAAAATAAAGATCTGCGTTCTTTCAGGTAAAAGTTGTGGATGGAGTGAGATACCAGAAAGTGTTTGAGAATGTTGTTTGTACCACAGTATATTTTAAATGGTTGCTGTAATGATCAGTTTTAAATTGTTAGGTAATCTCAAAGGAAGATGAGCTAGGAACATGTAAGACCCCAAAAAGGGGTATATCTTCTTTCAGGTGAAGGTTGTGGATGAACGGAGGTATCGGAAAGTATTTGAAGATATTGTACGCATTATGGATAGAATGGAAAATGACTTCCTTCCTTCCTTAGAACTCAGCAGAAGAGAGGTGAGTAAAAATATGTGGCTATCCTGTCTATTGCCCATCCTGGTTAGCAAAGGGGAAACCATGTTTTTCATAGAAGGCAACACGGCAAGTGGTGAAGACCATGTATACTGAAGTCAGACTGCCTCCATTACAATCCCAGCACTGCCATTTAGTACATGTATGACCACAGGTGACTATCTTACCCTTTTAGAGCCACAGTTTCCTTTTCTGGATAAAAGGGTAGTTGTGAGGATTATACAAGTTAATACATGCGAAGCTCTTAAAACAGCGCCTGGCACAAAAGAAGCCCTCAGATTTAGCCACTCTTATTTAATATTTCAGAGTTGCTAAAATATCATATCTCAGGAACCAGGACTCGGTCACGGGATGAATGCCCTGACCCAAGGTTAGGTTAACCTCTTAGGATCCCAGGAACAATCAGAATGGCCTAGAGAAGTAGCTGCCTAACTCCTCATCTGGTCTGAGGATAATAATATATGAGAGGGGATGGTGTATAGCTGGCTCAGTTGGCGAGTGTATATGGCAGTTGCACACCTGGCTAATAATTATCTTATTCTTTATTCATATTTTCTGTGGAATAATCCAACTGACTTACTTCCCCTACTAGTGATACATGTTTGTGTCTGTCTGTTATTCCCCAGTTTGTGTTTGAGAATGTGAAGTTTCGGCAACTACAAAAAGAGAAGTTCCAGATCAGCAACAATGGACAGGTTCCTTGCCATTTTTCTTTCATCCCTAAACTTAATGACAGCCAGTACTGCAAGCCATGGCTTCGGGCTGAACCTTTTGAGGGCTACTTGGAGCCAAGTGAGTTTTCCCTTTACCATCATCTCTGTTTGTGATGTACCATCTCCTCATGATTCCCATATCCCCTGCCTTTGTTTAACTTCTTGTTTTCTAACCATACGTCTCTTACCTTCATTGTTATTATATTGGAGATATGTCTTTTGTGTGTCCAATCTCTCCTTTGTCACTTGATGATATTTTAGAGAACACTTCTGTTGGTTCTTATCCCCATTTTGGTTTTCCACTGGAACTTTCTGTTGTCATGTGTCATCTCTTACATTTCAGATGAGACAGTGGACATTTCTCTTGATGTGTATGTCAGCAAAGACTCTGTGACCATCCTGAACTCAGGGGAAGATAAAATTGAAGATATTCTTGTCCTTCACCTGGATCGAGGCAAAGATTACTTCTTGACCATTAGTGGAAATTACCTCCCAAGTTGTTTTGGTACATCCTTAGAGGCTTTGTGCCGAATGAAAAGACCAATCCGAGAAGTTCCTGTTACCAAACTCATAGACTTGGTAAGAAACATTCTAAGACATGAACCTCCTGTAGATACAATTTTCACAATACTTAAGTGATGTCCTCATTGTCTCTGTGCTTTCTCTTTTCTTGGGGGCAAGGGGGACTGTAAAGTGATAAGTAAGAATAGGACTCACTTACTCTAGCACTGCTTTCATTGAATTAAGCCTAAAAGGAAAGAGGAGAGGATAATCTATATTTGGCTCTTGTCAGGAATATAATAGATGATACTTAAATTCACTGAATTACAATAAAGATTCCCTTCTATAATGCTTGTTTGTTATGCTCTTCATACTTCCAAGTCACTTTTGTATAAATTAGCATGTATGTGAGGTACAGTAAATGGGAGAGGCAGTATTATGCTCATTAAATGAAAGAGAAAACCAAGGCACAGAGACAATCACTTGCCCAAAATGCAATAAGTTAGTGACAGATCTATCACCAAGATTTTCTGACTCCCAGTCCACTACTCTTCGCTATATCATATCTAATCTAGGTCAAACTCGGCTGCTTGTTTGCAGCCCAGACCTATCCGTGAACCTCAGAGTACCTGCCTCAGAACCCCTGGGGCCCTTATGCAAGTCCAGGTCCCTCTTCCCGCTCACCTCCAGCAATAGAATCAGAATCTCAGGGTGTGAGGCCTAGGAATCGGCATATATTTGCACTCCGGATTATTATAAGGTGCATAGAAGTGTGATACATGTTTTATGTGACTTGCGTAATAAAGGAAAGGAAGAAGTTTCCCATCACCAAGCTATAAAATCAGTGTCTTTGTGGAGAAATGCCTGTATTATCTTCAGTGACATAAATTGATTTAGTAACAAGTTCATCCTATTAAGTTTTCTTCTAAATGAAAGTACGTTGGATTCGTGTGCAGACCTCTTTGGGCTTATAAAAGTATATTTTTGGTCTTTTACCAAGGAAAGTTAGGTACGTGACAGCCATACATTATCATTACCATTGGAATTCACTTGATCCTTTTGCCCTAGCCAACGGCAGTGATTCTATCATCTATGGCAGTGATTGTATCATCTATCGGGAAGGGCTGGACCAGCGGGCAGGCTGCTGGTTTGTCTGAGTGTGATCTGTTCTCTTGCCATGGAATTGTTTTAGCTATGACTCAGATGGCAGATTAAAACACTTGAATGCAGTCCTAGCATTCTTTCTTGGAATTATACTTGTTTCCCTAGAGCCCTCATGACTGAGTGTATTACCTCTGAGAGAGAACCATTTTCTTCAGAAATTCATATCCTGACATTCTGTTGTTTTTCATACTTGTTTTTTCTTCTACCACCATATTCCTGTCTTTCAAATTTAATATTTAACCTTTTAGAATATATTCTAAATGAAGTCGTTTCTCTTTCATATCCCCTTCTCTCCACCCTAAACACCATTTCCCAGCTTTCTTTTTCCCAACTTTTTGATTTTGAAAATGGCAAATGTGCAGAAAAATTGAAAGAACAGTGCAATTTTTTTGCTGTACCATTTTAAATTAAGGGATGATATGCACTTTCACCAGTGAATACTTCAGTCTGCCTTTCTTAAGAAAAAGGACAACCTCTATATAAGCACAGTACCATTATTACACCTAAGAAAACTAGCCAGTCCATATCCAGATTTTTCCAGTTGTCCCAAGTATTCATTTTGTAGCTTTCTTAAAGCCAAAATCCAATCTGGATTCATACAGTACATTTGGTGAGGTCTCTGCAGTCTCTTTTAGAGTAGAACAGTTCTCCCCTTTTTTATTTTAATGGCATTGCATTTTTAAGAGTCCAGTGCAATTGTCCAGTCATGAATCCACCATTTCCTAAACTTGTCTGATTGTTTCTTCGTAATTTTTTAAAATTTATTTATTGTAATTAGTTTCAAGAATATAGTATATTGGTTAGACATCTATATAGTTCGTAAAACGATCTCCCAGATGCTCCCTCCCTCCCCTGATCCTCCACCTAGCCAACGTATTAATGCTAACTGTATTCCCTATGCTGTGCTCCTCATCCCCATGTCCATCCATCAGCTACTAATTTGTGCTTCTTTAACCCTTCACTCCATTCTGCCAGCCCCCCACACCTCCCTCCCCTCTGTCCCTCATCACATTGTCCACTATATTTG